GATCGTGAGGTTGCATGGAGTTCCTACTAGTATTGTGTCTGATAGAGATCCTAGGTTCACCTCTAGATTTTGGGAGAGTTTGCATAAGGCTTTAGGCACTAAGCTTAGATTGAGTTCAGCTTACCATCCCCAAACAGATGGCCAAACTGAGAGAACCATACAATCTTTGGAAGACTTGTTGAGGGCTTGCATCTTAGAACGTGGGGGTAGTTGGGATAGTTTCCTACCTTTGATAGAATTTACCTACAATAATAGCTACCATTCTAGTATTGGGATGGCACCATATGAGGCTCTGTATGGTAGGAGATGTAGAACACCTTTATGTTGGGTAGAACCTGGAGAGAATGTCATGTTAGGACCTGAGATAGTTCAACAAACTACTGAACAGGTTAAGATGATCCAAGAGAGGATGAGAGCAACCTAGAGTAGGCAAAAGAGTTATAATGACAAGAGGAGAAAAGACCTTGAGTTTAAAGAAGGTGATCATGTATTCCTTAAAGTCACTCCTTGGACAGGAGTAGGCAGAGCACTGAAATCTCGTAAACTTACTCCACGTTTCATCGGTCCTTATCAAATTCTTAAAAGGATAGGTGAAGTAGCCTATCAAATTGCCTTACCTTCATCTCTTTCAAATCTCCATAATGTCTTTCATGTTTTCCAACTCAGAAAGTATGTTCATGATCCTTCCCATATCATTGAGTCTGACAACATTCAGTTGAAGGATAATCTCATCTATTAAACAATTCCTTTAAGGATTGATGATACGAGGGTGAAACAACTGAGAGGAAAGGAAATCCCATTGGTTAAGGTCGTTTGGGGAGGAAATTTTGAAGAAAGTGCTACATGGGAATTAGAAAGCAAGATGCGAGAAGCTTATCCATTTCTGTTTTCAGGTAAATTTCGGGGACGAAATTTCTAAAAGGAGGGGAGAATTGTAACATCCCGAATTTTCTAATAATACAATATTGACTATTATATATTTTTATATATAGTTATTTTAGTTAATTAAAGGGTTTTATAAAATACTTTAAAGGTTTGTAATAATTTAATTATTTATGAAAATTTTTATATAAAATTCTGTTTCTTTACGCTAGAACGGGCTGTTCCAAAAGTGGAACGAGCCGTTCCAAACAAAGAAAATAAGTTATTTTTTAAGCATCAGAATGGGCCGTTCCAAATTGGAACGGGCCGTTCCAAAGTAGTAAAAAAACACATTTTTGTTTTCCCAGAACGGGCCGTTCCCAAAGGGAAACGGGCCGTTCCGATATTGTAAAAGTGCCTAAAAAGTTTAGTTAGAAACCGGCCGTTCCAATAAAGGTCAATGTGTGTAAAATGAACTTCAGAACGGGTCGTTCTGATTTTAGAACGGCCCGTTCTAATTATAGAACGGGCCGTTCTGCTTTTTTGGAAACGGCCGTTCTGATTTTAGAACGGGCCGTTCCAGTTAAATAGTTTACGTATATTTGAAGGATCCGGAACGGGCCGTTCCGAATTCAGTACGGGCCATTCCGGGTACACCAGGATGCCTATAAATAGGGGTAGGGAGGTGAAAAATTATAACTGACTAAGAAGTGAAAATTTTAGAGAAAGAGAGAGAGAAAGAAAGAGGGAATCCAAAGGAGGAGGTCCTGCCCAAGTTTCAACTCCTACTTATCCAGGTAAGGGGGGAGTGAGAAATCTCGCTCGGGAGTGTGGGGATAATTGTTGGATAGTTTGATTGTCGGATTGGCCCGTAATCCCTTGCTTGTTGTTCTGTTTTATTTTCTGTTTGCTCTATTTTGTTCCTTGTTACTTTGTTCCTTGTTGAAAGTAATAAATGAATATGGAATTAATGTTAAAAATAAATAAGTTTTAATATGAATAAGAATGCTCTCTGTAAATTCCTGTGCAGACCTTATGAGGAGTATTTATGACATGACCATGTGAAATATGGACAAATGACATGAGACCTAAGAATGGACTATTGAGACAAGTTGTGATTATAAGAATATGAAAAATGATGACATGATGTACTGAATGAAATTTTGTAATAAGTCAAATGTTGAGTCAATGAAATAATAACTGTATGACATGTATCATATGCATATATTACTCCAGGTATGCCGCTGAGGCCGCATACCAGTGATGCTAACAAGGTGTACCTTAGGGTCACCCACGACTAACAAGGTGTACCTTAGGGTCACCCACGACTAACAAGGTGTACACCCACAACTAACAAGATGTACCTTAGGGTCACCCACGACTATCAAGGTATACCTTAGGGTCACCCACGACGTAACATGCTAACAAGGTGTACCTTAGGGTCACCAGTGATGTAACTAGGTGTACCTTAGGGTCACCAGTGATGATATGTGAATCTTCTACCTTATAATATTTGAGACAAATATTTCATCCATGAAAGAGGTTGTCAATTATGAAAGATTTTATTTACTCAAAAAGAGAAAAAAAAATTATTTACATTTATTGTGTATAAGTGTTGGGGTAGAGGGTGTCACAAAAGTGATAATAACTCTTGAAAATCTTCTCTTTAAAAAAGATATTTAAAAATACTTTCATTAATAAATAGTTCAAATTTATTTATATTATTAAAAGACAATTATTCACTTTGACGAACACATTTTTTTTAATAACAATTTTCTCTAAATCTATCTTTTAAATTACTCTTTATTTTTTCAACATATTTTTTTAAAAAGTTACTCTTGTAATTACAACTACTTACAACAATTTTTAAATATTGTTAATATTTTCTTATTATTAACCACTCATATTTAATTTATTATTTAAAAAAAACATATACAAAAGCTTGAAGTAACTTTATTACACTAGTGTATGACAACAAGGAATCACGAAGGATTAACATATTTAAACTAATGTCAACTCAGTTAATTAACGGTTGCTTTTATCTTGTCATTTTCTTATCTCCTGGTATCTCCTCTTTATAAGTCAAATAAGACTCCCTTCGGAAAGAAGAAAAAATTTAAGTAATTAATGAGGGGATTTATTAGATGATAAATGAATAGTAGGTATAATTATTATTGAATGAATGTGCTTTTGTACTATGACAACCACTAACATACTTTTTTCTTCTTCTACTTAATACTTAGGAATTAATGATTAGTTAAAACTTTAAACTTAGGATGTTGGACATTCGAAAGTCATGGTTATATCGATCGTAGGATTATATTTATTTTTATAAGGCAACTCTTACTTTTTTAATTACGATATATTTATTTCAAAAATAAAAATATATCTGCTTAGACCGTTATTTATATCTATTATAAAAGAAATACACTCAACAAGATTAGTTTTTAATAATCTGCGTTAAAATACTATATCAAAAAAATGGTATACATGACATATAAGTATTTTTTTATATCCACTTTTTAATGGATCATTATGTCTCTTAATTTTTGTTCCGGTCAAAGGGTAGACTAGGATTTTTTCCTAGATCAAGCTTTTGAGGCAGAACATTCAAAAGTGTAATCTGTCTTCTTAGCCTTAGGGTTTTAGGTTTTATGGTGTGTCGTCGATGGGCCTCTTGGGCCCCGAGAATGAAGGGACTTTCCTAACTGTTCTTATTAGGAGGGCGCGAGATAAGTGGGGGCGAGTTTAGTCGGATTCCGACCGACTGGGTCTATACCGAGGGTCCAGTCGAGTAAATGCTGAGTAATCCCCTTATAGGTGAGGGGAATCGAATTAGCTAATCTAGTCGGGTTACGACCGACTAGGTCTGTGCTGACCCTTCAATCGGGTTAATGCCGAGTAGAGGATCCTGCTCGCCCTATTACTGAATGGAAAACCAGGTTGGATTACGACCGGGACGCACAATTTTTAAGAATGTTTTTTTTATATATATTTTAAATAATTACCTACAACTACGTATTTTTATTTTTTAATTTAAAAAAACTAAAACTCATTTTCTTGCTTGTTAATTTTTATAATACAACTGCAACCGTCCCAAATAATACTAGATTATAAATTACGAAAAATACTCGATTGCCTTCCTTTCTTGTTAGTACTCAAATACGCAAACATAATCGTACAAATCAGGAAGCTGAATTCAAAGAATATTTTTGAGAAAATCAACATGAACCTCATCTAACTAATGCATGTAAGAGTTGATATACTTTCAAACAGAACAATCATTTAATTAGTAAGTTTTTGAAATATAACTCATTTACATAACAAAATTATCTAATAGATGTTTGATTCGTACGCATACCAAGAAAACTTTATTAGGATAGACAAAAAGCTACCTAGTTAAATTAGTTTTTAACTATTTGTGGAAATATTGCATTGGTGTACAAAAAAAAGTCTATAATATCATCATACGAAATATTGAAAGAAAATATTATTCTTTATGTTTTATAATAAGTGTTGTTAAAAAAAATAAGTCTAAAATTAAGTATTATTTTAAGTTTTACTGTAATATTAATTATCTACTTTTCTATATATCCCTATAAATATAAATATTAATTATAAAATAATTGTTGCATTATATCCTTTCTAGTAAAAATAATTTATCATAAGTTTAATTTTGTAAAATTTCACTATCCTCCTCTTTCTTCTATTTATTGAATTTTTTTTGTTTGTAAAAGAATATAGAATAATACTTATTATAAAACAAGTGAAATATCATTTTTTAGGTAGCGATATTATTTATACCAAATATTTATTAAAAAAAAAATCTGATCAATTATGTGTAATCTTTCGTTCTAACTATATTTGTTTCCATCTGCAGAAGTGGAACTCAAGAACTTGTTTAATGGAATCAAATTATAATTATTGAAAAAACTGAATTAACAATAATATTAAAAGATAAATAAAAATAAATTCCACCTTAAATACAAATAATAGTCATTGGTCAAACGGAGCACACTCAAGGGCACTGTTGGTATCGAACATATGAAGTTAATTTGACCAGGCAGAGACCGTCTATATAAGCACAGCCACGCTGTTAGCGTCCTTCATGCCAACTAGCAGTTCTTTAATAACAACAGCCAAAGTAGACATCAATGTCTGCAAATGCAGTAATGGCAGTTAAAGAACTTAGAGTTTCTTCGCTTACAACAACCTCACTTGCTTGTCACAATTCACGTTCATCCATGTTTCAACCACGGAACTTGTCGTTAAAAACATCAAGACCACCGATGATATATAACAATCTGTCGATCAAGTCCATTGCTTTCCGTGACAAGGTACTTCTTTTGTCACTTTAATTTGTTTTTTCCTCCTCTTTCTACAGCATAAACACTGTTTTCTATACATACAGATTTTTTTTGTAGTTGTTTTTATCTTGGCGTTGAGCTCCTATTCTCATTAACATAGATCGAGCTCTGTTTTAATTTTAGTTTTACAAATTTTTTATGTCTAAAATAATACATTGATGTGGCTCCAATCACTACAACACAAATAAGTTTTAGCAACATTTAAAAAATGTTACTTAATTATGTATAAATGTTACTAATTTATTTTAGTAACATATTATCAAATGTTGTATATAGTTCATGTTGTTAAAGACTTTTAATAATATTTTTATATAATTATGCAACATTTTTTAAATGTTAACAAAGTAGTATTTTTATAATATTTTAATGATGTTTTCAATATTTTGTTAATTTTATGAAATAATAATTAATTTTAATTTAGATATATTACTATCAATTATTATATTTTTGTGCCTCTTAAATTCTTAAGAATTCTTTGAGAGAAGATTAAAGACATTCTTAATTAATTACCACTTATTATATATAAAATATCAAATTTTATTTATCTTAAGTATAATAACTACATGACTCTTTATGAGTCCTTAATTTATTCGATGTGAGACTTTAATTATGGGTAACAATTAGAGATAAGAGAAATTTACTTTTTTTTACTCAACGTGAGATTTTGATTTTAGAAACAATTATAATAACATTTTTTTAAAAAGTGCTGCAAAATAGCCCATGTAAAATTTTTTTACTCGATATGAGACTTTGATTTTGAAAACAATTAAAAAGAATAATATTGAAATAAAAAATGTTATTCTATCTATAATGACATTTTTTTAAAAAAGTATTGCAAAATAACCTATTTATTTAATATATAGTAACATTTTAACAAATTTAAACAAAAAAATATTGCTAAAGAATTAAAATCTAGTAGTGAATCGAAGGAATTTTCACCAAAACCACCATCACATGCATAACTATTCATTCATTCAATTTTCTCTCACTTTTAAACGGATCAATTTTTAATATGGATCAGCCATGTCTTTTGTCCCTTTACTTCATTTAACTAAGAAAATGAGTGGAGAGTTTTTGATAACTTTATTTAGGGTGAGTAAGGAATGTAAAAGTTGAATGAGTTCTCTCTTTATTCAGTCCAAAAATTTTACTCACTCGTTTATTTTAGTCTCAACCTATCTCGATCAATACTTGAAAGATATGAGACGGGATGAGATTAATATGACATTTTAACATACTATCTCAATATTAATATCATGTATAATTAAATGATAGAATAAAAGAAATATTAAAAAATTAAAATATGGTATATTTTACAATCTATATTTTTAAATAAATAATATCAGTATAAATATATACTATACTATAAAAAAAGTATTATCTATTAAATAAAATAATTTACTATTAGTATAAAATTGTTCAAAAAATTATGTTTAAAAAAATGTAAGATGTTAAATTGAGTTGAAACAATGTGAAAGATAACATGATTTGATCAATCCAAAAAATACATTACATCTAAATTTAAAATCTGAACCCACCTAATCCTTTTCAAACTAAGTCATGTTAGTAGGATTAACCGAATTTTATTCATCCTAAATTCTTTATTGTATTTCTCACACATTTCACTAAACTTAATAGAACACTAATTTATTGATGAAAACTTTATGACTTACATCGTTTTCAACTATTGAGCTTAATATTGATAGTTTGAAGTTTTTATTTTTTTTATATTGTATTTGTTTAACTATAAATTATCATACATGAAAAAATTGTTGATTTTTTATAATAATTATTTTAAAAATAATATTTATGTCAATTTTTAATTGATTGTGGGTGTAGAAATCTTTAATCTAACAACATGTGGAAAAAAAAAAACATAAAGCTATTAAGGTCTATCGTCATTATTTATGTCGTTGTAATTAATCTTTCTTGCCGATGATAAAATGAAAATTAAACAATTCTTTTCTTCCTTTACATTTGTATGAATATTAGTATTTGATATAGTCATGATGTTTTACATGAGAAAAGTCACAAATTCCCTGAAAAAGGGAACAAGAATAATAGTACGTGATAACTCACTTTCATAATTTTCACTATATTCCCTTTATCGGATTTCCTAACGTTGGTGGTATTAGGTTCCTAGTCAAACTGATCCTAGTACAAGAAATTTGGAGCAAGTTAAAAGAAGAAGCCAAGAGTTATTGCTAAATTCAAGGGATCCAATTAAAACATTGAAGATAATTGACAACATCCAAAGGTTAGGAATTGGACACCATTTCGAAGAAGAGATCAACGTACAACTTGGAAGGGTAGGGGATTGGGACGTCACTCAAGACCTCTTAGCCACAGCCCTTCAATTTCGCCTGCTGAGGCATAACGGCTGGCCTGCTAGATCTGGTACACCGTTGAATTTTGATTGTCTCTTGTTTTCTCTCTTGAATGCTACAAGGGCAAAAGAAACGGGCAATAATTAACACATAAATAAAAGAATGATTCACCATTATTTACATTCACTTTAATTTAATTGTTTGTGTCTTTTTCAAAACACAAAAGAAATTAATTCCATTCATTTTATTTATAATTAATTTCTATCAATGATGGTATTGTTCAAATATTAAAGATTATTATAAAAAAAATTATTCACAAACCTATATATTTTCATGAATTATATTTTCATCTAACCTTGATAAGACAGTTGTCTAAATGTTGTTCCACATACTAATTTGATTAAGTGATGTTGATTGACCGCAGATGCTTTCAAGAAATTTTTAGACAACACTGGAAATTTCCAGGAATCAATCACCAATGACATTCGGGCCATGTTAAGTTTATATGAGGCATCATATTTAGGTGCGAAAGGAGAAGAAATATTACAGCAGGCCATGGACTTCTCCACGGCTCATTTGCACCAATCACTGCCACACCTAAGTCCTGAACTAGGAAGGATTGTTGCCAGATCCTTAACACTTCCAAGGCACTTAAGAATGGCTAGGTTAGAAGCTAAAAACTACATGGAAGAATATAGTCAAGCAAGTAGCCAAATACCATCTCTTTTGGAATTGGCAAAGTTGGACCATGTCATGGTTCAGATGATGCACCAAAAAGAATTAGCGGAGATCTCCGGGTAATTTTATACTCTACGGGTGTGGTTGGTTTGAGTAAAAATGTGAAGAAAGGTGGACAACGGAGGAATTAAAATAAAGGATGGTGTGTCTAAAGTGAAGTCTTAAGATACTTGTGCAAAATAAAATATAAAAAAAAAAGATAATAATAAAGAGTGGATGTCTATATTTATATCTAAATATTTTATCAATTGGTACATAATTTTCAAAATTATGTTTTCCCACTTCGATTATTACCATTTTTGATCTATTAATATTTGAAAAGAAATATACTTTCAATGTGAAGCATATGATTGTTACTTTGATTTGATTAGGTGGTGGAAAAAGTTGGGACTTGTTGAAAGACTTGGTTTCGCTAGAGACAGACCGGAAGAGTGCTTCTTATGGACAGTGGGAGTTTTTCCAGAACCTTATTATTCAACTTGTCGCATTGAACTTACAAAGACCATATGCATTTTGCTAGTTATGGATGATATCTTTGACACTTATGGCACATTAGATGAACTTATTCTTTTTACCAAGGCAATCAAGAGGTTTGTATCTAGAATTTGAGTGAATTAAACTCAACTAGCGAAATGACTAATCAAAATATGAATCTTTTGATATTTATAGGTGGGATCTTGATGCAATGGAACAGTTGCCTGAATATATGAAGATATGCTATATTGCGTTGTATAATACCACGCATGAAATTGCAAATAAAATTGAGAAAGCGCACGGAGAAAGCGTTGTTGCTTGCTTGAAAAGAACAGTAAGATTTTAAATATCCGTTCAAATTGAAGCATGTATATAATTATAGGCAATTGAGTAAGATGTTAATGAGAAATTGGTTCTCAATGGTGCAGTGGACTGACATATTTGAAGCTTTTCTAAAAGAAGCCAAATGGTTCAACAACAAATACATTCCAACTTTTAGGGAATATTTGGATAATGGAGTGATTTCTTCGGGATCATACATGGCCATGGTGCATGCAACTTTCCTCGTTGGTGATGGCCTCTCAAAGGAAACCATTTCCATGATGAAGCCATATCCAAGGCTTTTCTCTTGCTCTGGGGAAATTCTTAGACTTTGGGACGACTTAGGAACTTCAAGGGTACTTCACTATACAGTGATACATTTAGATACACATATTTTTCTCTAATTAGTAATTGATTTACATGAACTAATCTGATATCAAAATACCATAATTCCTAAATATCCTAATTGAAGTTGTTTCAAAAACATTTAATTAGCTACCATTTTTTTTTAAATTATGTTACTGATATATTAGAATAAGAAAGTGGACATTATGATGAGAAGTTGTTGATGTTTCATGTTTAGGAGGAACAAGAAAGAGGAGATAATGCTTGCAGCATACAATGTTTCATGACAGAAAATAACATTTCAGATGAAAATGTAGCCAGGAAACATATAAGAGAACTCATAAGGAACTTATGGCCGGAGCTAAACGGTCTTGCTATGACCACAAGTGCTCTACCATTATCAGTTATGAAGGCTTCTCTTAACATGGCTAGAACTGCTCAAGTTATTTATCAACATGGAGATGAGCAAAACGCATTTACAGTTGATGATTATGTAAAAACATTGCTCTTTACCCAACACTGACTCTTGAAATGAAAGTGATATAAATTATGTGTTACATGATTTAAATTTATAGCTTTTAAACTTTTCTTTGATGATGGGTTGACTTTCTTCGATCTCTCGAAAATATCTCAATAAAAATAATGGAGTAGTTGAAGAGTTTAATTTATATAATATGAGTGTAAAATATTTTTACACGGCATTAATAAGATTTGTTTTTTAATCACTGCATTCTTTTTATTAATACGATGTAGAGAAAAAATTATTAGATATTTACACAAAAATATTATTATATATCAATTGTATATAAATTAAACTCTTGATTATAATTAGAGAAGGGAGAAACATTCAACCCATTTTTAGATTAAAAAATAAGTATAGATTTATTTGAAAGGAAATTAAATAAATCATTTTGACCAACGAATTGAGATAACCTACTTTCTTTTTCGACTATTTTTTTCAAGAAAAAAAAAAGTTGCCAAAAAGTTTTGGAGGGCAAATATTGGGCTACACCAGCCAATTTATTTCATTCTAATTAGTTCTCGGTTCATGATATATACATCTCCTTTTTTCTATAAGTACACCTCTTTTTAAAAAAAATAATTAAAATTTTAAAATATTTTTAATTTTTTGTTTTAAATTTTTTAATTTTATATCCACAACATTTAATTTAGTACTTTTTGTTCACATATCTTTCTTCCTTTTTTCAATTTTTACATGCATCCTCTTATTTTTCCTTCACCCCACCTATTTTGGTAGTATATGAAAATTGAAAGAGAAAAAAAAAAGTGTGTGAATAAGAAAAAGAAAGTAACAAAATTGAAAGTTGAAAGTGTAAAATTAAATTTTTTTTTAAAAATTATAATATTTTATAAATTTTTTTAAAAAAAAGAGGTGTACTTATAAAAAGAAGGAGATGTATATATCATGAGCCTTAGTCCTCCTACTATGCATTATCTCGTGGGTGAGTGGAGGCCCAACCCAACATATATCAAATTCTGATCAAATCGTTTTGAGTCATATTATAGTGTTCTGTTTGGCTTATCATAGCAATCCAACATATGATAGTTTTTATTTCATTGTCACGATAAAATTTGTATTAATTTTATTAACTCTTCGACCGTTATGTGTAGAAAAAAATTGAGAATTTCTTTCCCTCCATATTGACCACATAACTGTAATTAACCATACCGATAACCACCTCCTCTTAACTCTTTCTCTGTCCCCAACAATTCATTCCACCGCAGAAAATCACTCCTTACCTCATAAGTTTTTGAAAAGGGAACATTCTTTTCATAATGATAAATAAAAGAGATACATTCTACTTATAAGCCAAATTCTCAAAGAGGCCTAAGATATATGGCTGTGTTAAAGTGCCATAACACTTTTCTTATATAAAGGAAGTGCTTGAAGCATAATACAAGTCAGTTGTTCTGAAAAACATAATATACTTATATGTGTAAAACCATAACTACATTGACTCGAGGATAGCTAGCTAGCACCATCGTCTCCCCTCCTCGTGATGAATCGATGAGTAAGTTGCTCACATGAACTTGGTAGAAGTTCGATCATCTTCTGTTGGACTACGCGGTTACCAACACAAAGGTTGCAAAAGACTTTGTAAAGGTTGCTCACGCTACAAGAATTTTTTTTAGCATAGATTTATCTCTTTTCCCATATATCATATTTTGAGAATTTTTTCACCTTACTTGTTTTTGGTCCACAATATCCTCCCAACAAAAGGAATATTAAAAAAATATCAATGATCTAAAAATATCAACAAGAAAAAATTATAAAGACTAAAATCAAACAAAATCATAATTTGTTGATTTGCAGGAACTTAAAAATATATTTAAGCTTTAAAAGAATATTCATATTTATAAAACATGATATTTTTTTTTTATTTTAATATCATTTGCAAAAGGATATTAATTTTAATTACTTTTTTAATGTTATCTTAAAAAATTAGCAATATTGTACAAATTTCCAAGTAAAATTATGGATTGAAATATTAATTTTAAAGTAGCGAATAATTGCAAACTGTTTTACTAATTGTATATTGTAACTGATGGTAATGTGTTTTTTTTTTGGGATTATTTTTTTATAAGCAAATAATTTTCCCATTAAATATATATTTTATTAATGTGTTTTTCCTCGCAAGTTGCAATTAAGTTAAATGATAGTGGTGATGTTTGGTCCGTTTTCTTCACCGAAAGATATCCATTTCCTAAACGAGTGGATAGAAACTGACTCGTCTGGCTATATAAGCGCAACGAAGCTATTTACTTCTATCAGTGAGCTAACCTTTACAACACCAAGAGGAGACGTCAATGTCTTTAAATGCAATAATGGCAGTTACAGATCTTGGAGTTTCATTGTTTACAACTTCACTTGCTTTTCACCATTCACGACCATTCATGTATCAACCACGGAACTTATCTCTTCAAACATTAAGACCAGGGACCATGCGTACTAAATTATCCATCAAGTCCATTTCTCTTCCTGACCAGGTGCTTTCTTAGACTATTTTGTCCTTATAAGGCATGCAATTTTTTTTGTATAATATGCTCTCTCTAGATTCATATACGAGTAAACAAATTTCTAAAATATTTTAACTTAAATATAAATAAATTTTAACTAACTTGACCTTATTTGACTATATCATTTTTAAAATATTTTTTAAATTAAATATGATTATTGTTTCAAATAAATATTATTAAGGTTAGTTTAGAAAGCAAGATTTAATTTTTATATAAATTCAATAAAATTAAATAAACTTAACTAAGTTTTTTAATATGTATGAATTTAATATATGAGTCTAAAGGAAGTATACTATTAGAGTCAATTAGACGTAGTAACTAAATTTTAAAGTTATTTCATCTAGTTCACTAATCTTTAGAATTATGTTATCCTCGTGTGCTTAAAACCTAATAATTGCTTTTTCTGTTGTTTTGAAAGTTAGGCAATAAAAAGGATTATTAATAAGTTGAATTAATATGAAATATCGAATTTTAATAAGCGAATGAAGTTGTCAATGGAAAAATTGTTGTCATAGAGTCAATATATTAACAAAGTAATAATCATCATAAATAATGTTAACTTTAAAGATAGTAACAATATTAAGAGTCCTACATTAAAAAGCATAAAAAAACTTGATGTGATACTTAAACCATGATACTCTCTCATATGATGGATGGGTCATCTAGATAATTTTTTCCTAAGTGCTTAGGAGTGTATTAGATTTAGGATTTTTAAAAAAAAATTATTTTTATGTGAAAAATTCTTATAAATTTTAAAAGACTTTGTATGAATGCAATGAGTTTTAAATATTTAAAAACTTTTGTATTCAATATTTTTTAATTTAGATTTATATCATAAGAATTTATAAGATTTGAAAAAAAATTATGAGATTTCAAAGAATAACATGAATTTAAAAAAAAAACAATACAATTACTGAAAAATATAACATAAATGATAAGGTTTGAATAAAAAAGATAAAATTAATATAATTTTTTTTTAATCAATGACCGATTTTAATTTCATATTCTCTTAAATAATATTTATCTACATATAAAGATAGTCTTTCATACAATGACGTACTTTTGTTCATGTTGTTGAGTTTGAATAATAAGTTAAATAATATGGTATTCATGATGACCTTAGTAAAACAAAATAATACCGTATTACATATGCGAAAAATAAAGACATTGTATCGTACTGACATAAGTTGAACTCATGTCTTTAATAAAAATGAAGACATTAATTTAAAAATTGTGAAATTTAATTTAAAAATTAAAAAAAAATTCTCTTGATCATAGTCCTTAAGAACACATAATAAAGATTTAACAAATTATTTTCATGTTGAAAGTCATTATTATTATTATTATGGTTACCAAAATATTTTAAAAATTTATGAAATAATTGATAATAATATTGTCAATACTTGTATAATAATAATAATAATAATAATAATAATAATAATAATAATAATAATAATAATAATAATAATAATAATAATAATAATAATAATAATTTTAAAGTAGACATTGCTTATAACTTAAAGAGTGAAACATAATACACACTCAATGTTATATCTTTCATCTTTTTTAAAGTACATTTCACATATAATAATATTAAAATAATTTTAAAAAGTTTTTCTTTGGTTGTATTTATATAAATAAAATATTAAAATATTTGATATTTTAATTGTTTTATTTACATTTATATTATTTTATAATTGTGTTGATAGAATAATTTAATTCAAAGTTCCTAATTTATATAAGTCAATTTAATTTTCACGATATGTAAAAATTATTTTTTATTACACGTTTGAAATTTTGAATTCTCAATATTAAATTTTATCAAAAATAAGCACAAGTCAAATTTTAAATATTTAATAATTTAAAAAATAATAGATAATGATTATTAATTCAAAAATATTTTTAATATTTATAATTCAAAAGAAAAAATATTCATAAATTTTACATGAATATTGATAAATAATTGAAAGATAGGAGAAATAATAGAGAGAAGTAGAAAAAGAAAAGACACAAGTGAGAAAGATGAGAGAGAGAGAGAAGGAGAGAAAAAGGAAAGAGGAGAGATAAAAAAAAAATAAAAAAAAAGTCATACAAAATTTTAAGAGTTGGGGTGAGATTGTTAAATGAATGTATTATGTATCAATTCTCCTAAAAAAATCTTGCAAAATTCATCTTACAAAATAGTTCATCAAAGTTTATATATATATATATAATACTAAAAGACTTTATTCTAGTGAAAAAATTTTCAATTGAATAATATTATTAAAATCAAGATTTTACTTGAGATAATAAGTGAGGAGAAAAATCGTAATTCAAATTGTAAAAACCTAAGTTTTAATTTAAAAGACTATAAATATATAAACATATTATACATATGCATAATATATGTAATTTTATAATTTATTGTACACCATTATTTGTAATTTTCAAGAATTAACTAAAAAAATAAAAATAAAAATTCATAATTATCATATTTTAAGAAATAAAAATGCATTTAATTTAATTAAATATATTCATTTTAAGCCTAAATTATATGTTTTATACGTATACATTTCCGTGGGAAATATTTTTTTGACGGACAAAACCAAATAGGCTATGAATGAAATACATAAGGATCATGAGCAGTTGAGGAAAAATTGTACCGGTGCAGTTGAATCCTCTCCCACAAATTTTTATTTTATTTTATTTTTTATTAAAATTTTATTCAATGGTCCAGATTCATGTAGCTCAAAATTGAACTGCAGGTAAATAATTTATAAATATTTTTATAAAAAAAATTGAGGTCTAAGTTCAATTTAACTCTTCTAAACTTTTTACGAGAAAAAAAAAATGAACTATAGAAAATCTCGATCGGAATGTAATGTCAAATCATGGCTAAGTGGAAGCAATGAGAGGTTCAGGTGACTCCAACACAACACGACACAACTAGGCACTTAGGTTTTGATTGGGAACTGGTGATACATAGTGGTTTTGTAGCACTTGAGAAATTGGGTCGTGAAGCGACCCAAAACATGTTCTTTAGGCTTTAGCAACTTTGAAATGTCATCTTTCTCTGTTGGGTGGTCGTACACGTCCATCCTCAAAACTTGTCCCTCCTGATGCTTATTTTCTTTGGACTGGTTCGCGCTGTCACATTGGATTCCGCAATCGAAACCCCTCCATGTATACTTGTGCCCGAGTTAGAGTCCGACAGTTGTGAAGAAATAGGAGTTCAACGGTGACTACTCAACGATATGGGATAACGAACGGCAAGAAAAATTTGGCTAATGATATATACACTTTTTTTTATTATTTTATTTATAAGTACACTTCCTTTATTTAAAAAAAATATTAAAATATTAAAATATTTATAATTTTTTTTATTTTTAAATTTTTAATTTTATATCTCTAACATTTAATGTACTATTTTTTTCTTTTTACACATTTCTTTCTTTCTCTTTTCCAATTTTTAATTATATCATCTTGTTTTCTTCTAATTCCTCACATATTTTAGCAGGTAGTTTTAGTTTTCTTAATTTTTATATTACTCTCTTATTTTCTCATTTCTTCCACTTTTTCATATGTACTTAAATCATAGAACTAGTAGACAACAACATTGTAAGTACGTGTAGTTTTCTCGACAGTTTCTATCAAACTAGAAACACATATTTTCTTCCAATACTTCCTTTCCTTTCACCGCTCCAATAATCTTAACATTAAGTTTAGTGTTATGAAAAAGACATTTTCATTATTCTAAAGTACTATGCGGATAGTAAAATCAGTAAGAAAACTGAAAGAGGAAAGGAAAAAGAATAATGTAAAACTAAAAGAATTAAAATTACTTATCAAAATAGGTGGGTGAAGAAAAATTAAGGAGGTGCACGTGAAAATAAGGGAAAGAGGTGTTAAATTAAATGTTAGGAGTGTAAAATTAAAAAATTAAAAAATAAAATAAAATTAAGGATATTTTAAACATTTAATTAACTTTAAAAAAAAAAGGGGTGTACTTATAAAAAAAAAAGTGTATATATCATGATCCGAAAAATTTTCATGGTTTTTGCTACAATCTACCTCGCTAGGTCCAGATTTTAGCATGTAATTAGATATTACTAATTTTGATATATTTTTTAAAAAAATTTAATTATATTAATTGAATATTATAAAAAAAATTTATATAAAAAATTGTATTGATTGAATATAACAAAAAATAATTATTAAAAAAAGTTTTTTAAAATTAACTTAAATGTGTTTTAAGTTCTTACACATATCACTGTCTTATTTTAGTCTTTAATAAAGAAATTATCATTTTTAGGTTTTTGGCATTTTTCTAGTATTCTATTTTGATATTTGTCACCAATTCTAATTAGTTTAGTGGTTAAAATGGCTAAAAAATTAAAAGATATTAATTAAGATAATTAAGGTAAAAAAATATTTTAAATTCAGATAATTAAATTATTTTTACAAGCATAATTTAATTAAGTAATATGCTTATTATTATATATAAATAAGGTTGTTATATATAATTTATTTTTAATATATTGAGAATTAAGAATAGATTTTAGTGATTTTTATTGCATTTGATATTGTTCTTATTTTTAATTTGCAAATCTATTTTAATAATTATGCTTTTTTAAAAATATTATAATTTACTTTGATGCTTATAATAAAATTTTAATATCTTATTTTTAATGTTATTTATACCTTTCAATTCATTAATTTTGATCAATAGTAATATAATTTATTTTTTAAAATATATCACAAGACGTGATTTTATCTAAAGACAAATGTCATAAATTAAGTAAATTATCAAAAAATATATATATATTTACCAAAAAATATAATTATTTTTTAAAAGTAGAATGTTAAAAGTAAATTAGTGGATTGAAAAGTAAGAATAATATTAAAAACAATAAAAAAATATTGTTCATAATATATTAAAAATTAAAATTGAATTATAGAAATATGTAATTATCTGATTTATATAAAATAAC